GGAGGGAGGTGGCACAGGGACCTTCCCATGGCCGTGGATGGAGGTGGCACAGGGACCTTCCCATGGCTGTGGCCCTGGCCACAAGCCCTGGGCATCATGGGCAGCCCTGGCTCTGCCTTCCCACGCATCCCGTGGGGACAGAGGCCGCAAGGAGCAGAGCCGGGGCAGCCACGGGAGAGGGCAGGGGAGGTTAGGAAAACACCCATTAAAGCACATTAACATTTCATGACCTGAGCGGAGGAGAGTAAATCACTCCGCGTAGATCCAGTGACCATGAAAAAGCAAATGACATCTGGGGTTATTAATTAATTGAGAGATGCTGGGGTGGGAGCGAGGGGGCTGGAACAAATCCATGCAGTTACAGAGCTGAGATCTCTCAGCATCATGGGCCAGCACTCTTGTTTCCCAGAGATCTGATCCCTGGGGGATGCAGCCAGCAGGGAGCAGGGCTGGACCCGCTGCAGGATGGAGCTGTGGTGGTGATGGGCACCGGGACAGCTCTATGGGGTCTGAGCCAGGGGAGCATCTCCAGCACATCCCATCTGCATCCCAGATTTGGCCTCAAGAAGCGCTTAGGCCTGGGTCCATCGGATGCTTTTAAACCCTGCATCCCCCCCCTAGTCACATCTTCAAGGCAGGCAGGAACCTGAGGACAGCGCAGAGCTCTCCTAGTTCAACATCAGATGATTTTAAAGCACCTGGTTTGTAAACTCCTGTCCCCAGGAGCACAACCAGCACTGATGGAGAACTGGCCGGATAACCCAACGGGGCTGTGCGATTGGAGACACAGCTACGTGGATGCCAGCCAGGTTTCTACGAGCACTCGAGGAGCTGGGTGCAGGCAGGAGTTTAATTAAACCCAGGCAATCACATCAAAGCTGGTCCCCGCGTAGATCGCCTCCTTCGCTTTCAAGAATTAATTAATGAGCTGCAGTTAAACCTGCTCCCTGGCGACTGAAGCGCCGCCTGATCGCGCTGTGCCTGTTGCTCCGGGCAGGTGCTGCGCCCGTGCCCAGGTTTGGGAGGGTTTTGCTGATGTGGGGTAGCTCGTTTGGGCACCCAAACCCCAGCTGAGCCCTGGGTGGCAGAGGAGGAGCCCCCCAGCAGGTATAAATTGGGGTATTGATGCTCTGCATCCCTGGGATGTTCAGCTTAGGGGAGTTGTTCCCTTGCTGCCGGTTTTGAGGGGGTGCAGGTTGCAGTGGGAGGATTTCAAAAAGGAAATAAAAGAGCTGACAACTTCCTAGCACGGAAGGGCAGGAGGGAGGTGGAGGTGGGCTCGGTCCTGCTGGTGTCAAGGGCAGCTTTGGTGATAAAACAGAGGAATTTGGAGCAGGGCGAGAGCAGCTGCTTGTGGAGGAGGAATGGGAGAGGAAGTGTGGGCTCACAGGTAAGAGAGGGCTGTGGGTTCCTCTCTGTGCTTCACCCTCACTGAAAACCTGGGCTGCAGAAATATTCCTGGTCAAGCTTCATCTCCAGGACTTCACCAGAGGAGAGAGGAGCGGTCCTGGAGCCATTGCTGCAGGATAGTGTGGTTCCCTTGTTCAATAAACGTGGATGAGCAGGGTGGGAGTCCCCATCACTTCACCCTGCAGGGAAAATCAGGCCAGAGCATCCTCCCTGGGTGGCAGAGAGGGATGCTCCCATCAGGCTCCAAGTGACCCCAAATGGCTGGGAGCTGCTTTTGGGATGGAGCCGGTGGTTTGCATTTCTGGAGCTCTCTGTGGGGCAATGTTTTCCCCGTGGTTCAGTAAATTGTGGTTTCAACGTGCCCTGCCAGAGCAGGTTTGGTTTTCAGGGTTTTTTTGGGGGGTGAAGGCCCAGCTCCACTGATGACAATGGCCAAATTCCCCTGGTGTTGGTGTCACCCAGAGCCTCCTCGAAACCCTTCCCGGAAGCTGCTTTTGAGCTTTTTGGTCATCTGGAGCAAGGATCCTCACAAACCTCGTGTGTTTTTACTAACAACGAGCTAGAAAGGTGTGTAAAACGTGTGGGAAGGGCAGAAATGCATCTGCCTTTTTATACTGCTTCAAAAGATCCCTCAAGAAACGAGGCTATTCAGTAAAATTTACTAATGGCTCTGTTTAGAGAGGGAAGCACTTAATACTTCAAATTTTATTTTAAGAAATGCGCTAGTTCAGCCTGACACGAGATTGGAACCCATTTATCTTGCAGGGAAGCATTTGTTTCTCTCTGGGAATCATTTTCCTTGAATACGCTCTTAGCTCCATCATCTGACTCCTTGATGGCAGGCAGGGAAACAAGTGAAGAGCATTCCCCCGCTGTTTCCAGACGAGCTGCTCTTTACAGGAGATGCAATTGTACCAAAACCTTCGCAGCAAACTGCAGCAGGGCTCCCGCAGCAGCGCACGAGTCGAGCGGGGCGATCGCAGCCCGGCCCCACGGCCTCTTCCCTTCACTCCTTGCAAATCCGGGTTCAGCGATGCTTTCAGGCTGTGTGGGAAGAGTGAAGCATCTTCCCCACAGTCTCCTGAAGGGCTGGGGGTAAAACCAGTTTGGTGCTGAAGCTGGGGATGTCCCTGTGCTTGCCCTTCCCGTGCTGCCCTCGCCATGGCTCCCGCTCCATCCCTTTGGGGCAGCACAGCGATGCTCCTTCCCCTGCCTCCTGTAGCCCCGCGCACCAGCACACCCTGTGCAGGGTATTTAAAGCTGTGCCTGGTGTTCCCATCGCTGCTCCCATGCACCAGCTGCTCATCCCCGCTCGCTGCTGGTGGGAGGGACTGGAAAATGCCTTGGGGGGATTTCCTTGCACGGGGGGAAGGCGTCCAGCACCGAGGGGCAGCCTCGACCGTGGTGCTGCCAGTGGCTGGGTCAGCCTCAGGACTAGCACTGGGCAAGGCAACAGCCCTCGGTTCTCTGATGGGCTCAGGTGAGTTGGTTTTGCCCGTTTATGCATTTTCTCCTCAGAAGGGCTGTGGTGCCATCCCCTTGGCAGGGAAGGGCTGTGATCCCTGGGGAACAGAGTGCGCTGATGCTGCCTTTTCCCTGGTACCCACAGCCTTCTGCCATTCCCAGCTGCATCCCACCCTGTCTGCCCCACAGAGAGGAGGAGCCCATGGGCCCCAACCAGGGGAAAGCTATGCCCAGAGCATCCAACACTCCTTGGGGACCTGACTCCCCTTGGCCATGTATCTCAAGGGAACTGGAAACACCACAGCCCCACATCCTGGGACAACCTTACCCCCTCTCCTTTGATGTCACCTCCAGCTCTGGCCTCTCCTTTGGGGATTGGGGCTTGGCAGAGCCCACGGGATGCCCGGGAAGGGGATTTATGTCTGTGACTCCTTGCCATGGCTGTGGCTCCCGGTGCCTCCTGACCTCTGCTCCTCACCGCAACCTGCGCCGGAGCACAGGGCTCCCCTCAGTGACGCAGCAGTGGGGCTCAGCGTGGGAAAAGACGTCAAGGCCAGGAGGGGGACGGGGCTGTGACCCATGGGGCTGAGCCTTGGTGCTTGCTGAGGTCAGAGTTCCCCTGGCTCTGAGTGCCACAGCCAAAATCCCATAGGGAAAGGAGATGTTGAAGCCTTTGCTGTTGAAGGGGAGCTGTCTGTAGTTTGTGGGGTGTCCTCCTCAACCCCCCAGCACGGGTGTCCCCTGGATAAGGGTGACAGCAGTGCCCTGAACAAATCCCATCCGCAGCAGGAGTGTGTCGGTGCGATTGCGTAGCGGGCGGTTTTGAGGCAGGGGTGAGTGTGCCAGGTCTCTTCCAAGAACATTTTTATTGCCTTCGCAGTCATTTCCCACCGAGGTTCCCGGAGGCTGAGCACTGGGCTGGGAGCCACGGGGCCTGTTCCAGCACCCACTGCCCTGGACTGGGCTGGAGCAGTGTTTGAGCTGGGGACCAGTGATGCACTGTGTATGGTGGAGTCCTCTGCAGCCCATGCTGGGGTTTTTGGGCAGCATTTCACTTCCAAAACACATGGCAGGGCTGGGCATAGCAGTTTGGGCACCCAGAGCTGTACTGGGCTCCTCTGCACCCTCCTTGTACGTAGATGTTCCTGGTCAGGCCATGGGTGCTTGCACCTTACCATGGGCAACAACTGCAATGAGTTTAGCTGTTCTCTGCCCCAGGCTCTGCACTAAGGCTCTGCTCCCTCACTGGTTTAACAGAGCTGGAGGAGCTTTTTCCTCCCGCAGTGCTCAGAGCAGCCCCCAAAAGGGCAGTGGGGTCTGGCGGGTTTGCAGTCGGTGTCTGCATGGTTGAAGGGGCTGCAGCTGAGCGCCCATTTGCTGTTCCCACCCTCAGGTCTTTGGGAAAAACACCATTACTCTGCAGCATGGAGATAGGGGACATCCTGGCCAGGCTGCCACCTCGACCTGAGCCACCACCTCCTGCACTGGCATCGCGCTCCAGCTCTCCTTGAGGACACCATCGTGTTAGCGACGGCCGGGTGCTGACACACAGCGGTGCTATTAACTGCGGGGAGCGTGGGTTGGGGGCTCCCAGCTATTCACACCTCCCCTTGCCAGCTGTGCCCACCAGGGGCATTCCCGGCTGCGCCACCCTCCGTGGGGATGTCGCTGTCGCCATCGTGCTACCTACAGCATCCTCAGCCCTCCCCCGGCCAGCGGGGAGGAGAAACCCACACGGATGCAGAAGCCCGGGCTATAAAAGCATCCTTCCCTCTGGGATGTGAGGAAGCTGCTGGCAGAGGAGGCGAATGCCCAGGCAGAGCGCGATGCTGGCCGGACACAGCCGCAGGGTGCAGCAGTGTCTGCTGGTCTTGGCCGTGATCTGGGGCGCCAGCTTCTTCTCTCCACCAGCCCAGGCTCTGCAGAGGTAGCGGGCGTGCCTAATGCTGTGGGGCTTGCTGGCTCCCCTTGGTTTTGGGTGCTTGGTTTTGGGACTCTCCTGCTGTGGCTCTGCTGGGAACCCCCCTTCCTTCTCCTCCTCCTCTGCTCTTTCTCGTTCCTCTTCCTCTCTCCCCTCGAGCATCGCATGGCTCAG